ATTCAAAATCATACCGAGAATCGTTTGGCTTCTAGTTTAAGCGAAAAACAAATGGTAATAATTTTTCACCTAGGATTAATATTGTTTGTTGATTTCATGCTGCTAGGAACGTGAGCTCAGTAAGGTAAGATTGCATCAATTTCATGCACCCATTTAAAACAGTATTTAACTGCAAAAGCTTGTACGCTTCAAAATGGGTAGTGTTTCTGGAAATAAAGCTATAAATTATGAATTATGATTTCATAATCATGAATGACTAAATCCAGACAATGCTATCGGAGTATCTTTGCGCTATTTTTTTCTCAAGTGTATTTGACTCGGCTGAAATACACTCGAAAATTGCTTTCTTTCGTGTCACTTTTCACGAAAGTCATTTAATATTGAGGCCTGCAGTTTTGTTTTTTTTACGTAATTGTAATTTTGGTTTGTGTTTATTTTCTTTAGCAAGATACGTTATGGGGTCAGGTAAGAAAAATACTTTGTTTCGCAGTTTTATGCGGTTTTGAGTGCACGCATTGGTTGCCTTTTGAAACAGCTGCTACGAATTTGAGTGGCGAATTTACAGGCCCTGGTTTCATCTGTAGCGTACGTAGGAGTTTTGATAGCTAATTTCATAGAGGCACGTGTGTGCACGTAGAATGAGTGGAAATTCTGTAAATATTGTACAGTCAGTTTTTACTAAATATAATATGATTGTCGTGGCAATTGGATACATTTACAGTAACCAAGGCAACGAGCAAGTCGTCCTCCCCCCCTCTTGTTACAAAAGCATGGAATTTTCACCTTTATTCTCGTGGCAAAGGCTATCTTTGATTACTTTGCAGCAAGGGGCACTTATCCACGAAAAAGGATTTGAAGCACAATTGCGAATACTTGGAGAAAAATATTCAAATCATGAATCTAAATCCTTTGGAAAAAAAAGTGATTCGAATGAAAAATCTGAATCTCATCAAGCGGTGCCGAAACTCAGGAACAGAAAAGAAATGAGAAAAGAAAGGAAGAGAAAGAGCAAAGGAGGAACCAAATCTAATAATAAAATTAGGCTAAGGCCATACTTTTCCGCGACAACGCGATCCTCAAAAAGCAACGAGAGAAGTCGCACAGAAGCAAAAGTGTCGAAGCGGCCATACTCAATAGCAAAACGCGTCATTCTTATTGAAAACCCTATGCCAGCTGCTGCAACAAGCTGCCACTTGTGACGGAATCAAAAATTTTGTTCTCATTGCAAGTAATGTGTGAGCGACAAGTGACGTTACAAAACGCA